GGCCGGCGGGGATCGGAAAGGCCGGCGGGGGTCGGGAAGGCCAGCGGGGTCGGGGAAGGCCGGTGGCCCCTGTGTCCTTGTAGGATGGGGTCGGCTTCTGTGTTCCCCCGGGTAGATGGAGGCCAGCTCTGCGTGGGATTTCGTCCTTACGGTCGCTGACCACCGGGTGGGTAGTGGGGAGGTCCCAGCGCCCTAGTTGTGCTTGGTCACTTGGCAACAGTGGTCTCTCTGATCTGGCGTGCTCAGGACAGGGCTGTGACCTTCTTCCCCCCAAGACTGGAGAGGGTGCTGTGGGCCTACGGGTGGGGGTTGGGGTGTGGGGGGGGGTGTGGACAGTGACCAGTGAAGTGCTTGGGAAGTTCTGTTCCAGGGCCTTGTGTGCTTGCAGTGACATGCAGTGGACCGAATGGGACAGAATGGGCAAGCTGGGAAAGCGGGGCAGGGAGCTCGCCCTGTGGACCTGAGAAGCCCCGTGTCCCCCGTGCTGGCCAGTGGATGGGCCTGAGGGACACAGGCCCAAACTCGAGCGTACAGCCTGACCTGGCCAGCTGTTGCATAACCCACTCCATGTGGCCGGTGACCCTTGTAGAAAGGGCCACACAGGGCCCCTTGGAGGTGCTTCAGGGTCTGTGTACACCTCCCGTCCCCAGGAGAGCACCCAGTGCATTGCGCCTGACCCTTCTGTGGGGCCACCGCGTCCTGTCCTGCTGGTGGGAGCCATGCTGATGACATTACTTATAGCTTATAGCATGGTTTACACCAGGGTCTCAGCTAGTGTCCTGGCACCTTCACACAGTACCCCTGAGCAGTGTCCTTTAGACCCGGTGGGCAGTCCAAGCCAGGAATCCAAGAGCTGAGAGGTGCGTGGATCCCCCAGTCATCCATGACCCATGGGGGCCTGACCACAGGTACCTGGAGCCCCGTGCTTCCTTGCTAAAGAAACAGGAGGTGGTGGTGTTGGCTGAGCTGGGAGACAGCCACAGCCTTGTGGGGTACCTTGAGTCACTGTGCCCTGGGTCCCATCCAGTGGGCAGTTGGGTGGACGCATTGGGTCCTCACCCTGATGAGTAAACGCATTCTTGTCCTGTCACTTCGTTAGTCACCAAGCTCCGGCCAGCCCAGGGCAAAATTGACCTGGTTCTCAGACTGGCCGACGGGGCTTTGGGAGTTCCGCTGGGACCTGCAGTATTTGAACAGCTGAGATGGGGCATCCTTGGGTTTCTGGGCACAGTGTGACTGAGGGGATGCAGTGCTGGCCATGTCACTCCAGAATTGTGATCCACACTCCCCTCAGAGGAGTCCTCCTCCTGACCAGGCTTCAGAACAGATGTTTGCTGGCCTGGGGCCTGTGACACCTGAGGTTCAGTGCTGGCCCCTTCCTCTGGGCCTGCCAAGACCAGAGGCTCCTGAGAAGACCTGGCTAGGAGACTGCCGTGGTGCCGGCCTGGCCTGTCCAGTGTTGGGAAGCTGCCTCCCTCCCTCACATTCTCGAGAGCTGGCCACCATCTGCTGGGGCCTGTGTTCTCAAGCAGTCCCAGCCCTCCTTTGGTGGCCTGGGTGACCAGTGAGAGTGATCTTTGTCCTGTTGTCTGTGGAGTCACCCTGCTTTCTCTTTGATAAGATGGCCTTGGAGGATCCAGGTGCCCTTCGGCCCTGGAGTTAGGTCGTGCTCTGTGTGCACCCCAGTACTGCTAGTTTGTTCCACAGCAGCCCAGCTGGGCCTCTCTCCAAGGAGCCCATGTCCACCACTAGGCATCCTCAGTTGGGCTCCCCCCGCCCCTCACCCTGTTGTTTCCAACTTGGTAATCCTCCAAGCCTGTAAGTCTTAGGACAACCCCCCAGAGTGCCGCTGATGGATTTGAACCACTGGAAGCAGTGGTGTTCTAGTTAGCACAGTTCACTCTTGGCTGCCACCAGAACTCATGGGTCTCTACTTCACACTGCTGGGTCCTGCATGACCTGGAAGGACAGGATCGATCTCCCCTCCCCTCCTACTTGCCCTAAAGCTGCCTAGTTGATGGACTTCTGGCCATGCTGTGGGAGAGGATCTTAGCCTGCAGCTAGGGGTCTCTGTTGGACTGTGGGCGCTGGTGCCGAGGGACACAGACCCCAGGGCTTTGCTGTGCCTGGATGCAGGGTGAGACTTGGGCGAGTCTCTGCTCCTTGTTGTTCCTGCGCTCAGATGTTCTTGACATACGCTCTTTCCCAGAGCATGCATCTTGTGTCCACTTGCACAGCGTCCATCCTCAGGTTAGCCCTGGGCAGCAGTGGTGCTCACCCTGTTGGCTCCGGGGAGGTAGGTTAACAGGGTTTTCTGCCTTCGGGAAGGTGCGAGTCTTGCGTGGCTTAGGGCTGCTGTGTCACTGAGTATCTACCAGCTGGCAGGGCGATAGGCTGCCACGCTCAGAGGAGCCTGGTGCTGTGGCTGGGCCAGCCGCTGCCTGAAAAGGCCTGGCACCTGTCACGGTGCAGCTCGGCGCCCGTCTCCACCCCTGCGGGAACTCCAGAGTGGCTTTCGTCTGCACACAGCATTTCCGATGAAGTCACTGCTCTGGTAATTGGAGAGATTGTCCCGCTGCAGTGAATGAGCAGAGCGCATCACCTCTCTGCAAAGATCCTCTGGGGAATGAAGTGAGACTGACCAGCCGACCACCTGGTGGTGGCTCCAAGGACCCTGTCTCATGATTCTCAAGTGGTCACTGACCCTGTGACCCAGTGCTGGTCAGCAACTTTTCCTGGGCGGCATCTTGTTGAGACCTCGACCGGCCCAGCTCCTAGGAAGTGGACTGATGTGTGTGGCACAGTAGCTCGGCCACCTGGGACAGGCTGGCCAACCTGTTCTGCAGGTCTAGGAAGGAGGGTCCCTGTCTCCACCTGGATTGGTGGGAGGAAAGGCTCCGTCAGGTTGGAAGGGAGAGCTTGGAGACCGAGGGGCCACACGCACATGTAGAACATCTTGAAATAAATGCTTTCCGATCCCCCTCTGGCCTTAAGGGCTCATGCTGGGACTGACCGAGTTGCTTGGAAACCGCTGCTGCCCAGGAATATTGTCGGAGTGAGAAGTTGTTGGCCTCCTCCAGGATCTCGCCCTGGCCACCTTCGGGGAGCCATTTGGGAAACAAAAATGTGGGCATTGACCCCTTTTCCTTGAAAGGAACTCAGACACACTCCACAGACATAGGTGGCGAGGGGAAACGGGATGCCAGGCTAAGTGTGGAAGAGCCAGAGCTGGTGGCCAGGGTCCTGGCATGTGAGGCCTGAGTGGACACTTCTGCTGCTGACGAATGTGAAACCAGGGCGTTAAGTGGGGGCTGACCTTTTTTCTTTCTTCTCCCAGGTACAGACATTGCTGCGGGAGAGGAAGTTGCCATCAAACTTGAATGTGTCAAGACTAAACATCCTCAGCTGCACATCGAGAGCAAGATCTATAAGATGATGCAGGGTGGAGGTAGGGCTGCCCGTGCGTGGGGCACTTCGGTGGATGGGGCCGGACGGGGCTGGGGCTGTCGGCCACCTGGACCAGGCACGGACCTTCACAGGGAGACATTCTGAGTCTCAGGGGACGTGGTCTTATACTCAGTTTAGATCCTGCCATCCTCAGCTTCGTGATAAGCAGAAAAATCTTGGGAAGCAAGGTTTCTGTGAGTTTGGTGATTTTCAGGCATAGGTTAAGATAAGTTTGTGTTTGGTGGCAGGCAGGCACATCTCAGTGCAGGACCCCTGTGTCCGTGGGAGCCCAGCGTGTGTTCAACCTGCTTGGTGTCAGGACTTGCCTGCTGCCCTTCTCACCCCATTACGCCTTTGCTCTGTGAGAAGCTGTCCCCATGGGGGCCTTGGAGGCACAGTGTCAGATGGGGTCACAGTGTGTGGCCCTAGGGGTTAACTTTCAACCACTGAGTTCTCCGCTGTTTGCAGAGAGGGTGTCGTATCTTGACAGTGACTGGAGCATCAGATAACTTGCAAGTTCCCTCTGAAGCCCCTGGGCTTTTCCCAGAGTGGAGGGTGAAGGACAGATGTTCTCCACACTTGACCGAGAGAAGCTTGCTTTCCAAGCCTGCCTGGTGGGAAAGGAAGGCTGCTGGCTGGACCCAGATATCTTCACCTGCAGAAACCCCACTGTGCTGCTGCTGGGGACAGATGTCACAGCAGGTGTGGCACTGATGGCCTGGGTGGCCTCAGAAGAGAGTGGGCTGCCTATCTGTCCAGGGCCAAAAGAATCCTTGCACACACAGACTTGGAGTCCTTCTGGATTTGCCCTGTGGTCCAGGGAGTACTCTGCAGAAGAGCCACCTCTTGGGCCTTAGTTGGCCCAAGTGTTAGGGAGTCTGCTTAGCTTCTGAGGTGGTGACAGGTAGAATGAAAGGAGGTGGTGCTAGATGTGGTGTTCCTGGTGGGAAGAAGCGTGGAGGTGGAGTCAGGCCTGCTGAGTGCTGTGCACTCTGAGAACTTGCAAGCCGAGGATACGAGGGCAGTGCCTTGTGAGACTTGGACTCAGAGCAGGAGAGTGTCCCTCGGGAAGCATGTGACCTCAACACCATCACAATCTATACACTCCGTCCACATGGCTTCCCACCCAGGTGACAGCCGTCACGTCTCCGACGTCTGCCTGAGAGCAGTGCTCTAGAACAGAGGAAGCTGTTCGCTTGGGGTTCTCCTCATCTCCCTTCTCCAGGAAACTTAGCCGCCTTCCCGGGATTTTGTCCCACGTGAACCTGGAGCTGTCAGCCACGTCTGCCTGCTCCCTGACTGGTGCTTGTTCTCGTCCCAGTACTCCTGTAGTGGAAGCCAGGAGGCCTGGCAGAAAGCTGAGTCTCTGCAGAGCAAGCACACGCCAGCTGAGGCTTGGAGCCAGCAGGTGTGGGAATCTAGGGGGCCAAGAAGCCCAGTTCGGAGCAGCTTGCCTTGCGTGAGGGGACTGCACACTGTGAGGGGCCCTCTCTCAGGGGAGTGTGGATATGTGCTGCTGAGCCCCAAACCACATAAGCTGCCCTGGGGGGAACCCCAAGGCCACGTGACTGCTCTCCAGTCTGGAATCTGCTGTGGATGATGCCTGGCTGGACATGCCAGGGGCAGGTGGGCCACGCTCTCCCCTGGCTCATAGTGCCCAGAAAGAACCTTGGTGAGAGGGCTTCGTGGCATTGACATTTTCAAGGAAACAGCAGTGCGGGGAGTGCTCAGCACAGATGTCTGTACGACTTGCATTAACTGCTCAGCAGTGCTGTGTGGTGGGCTCTGGTGAGGAGCAGGGCAGCACGTGCGTGTTCCAGCTCCAGGGAGAAGTGGCAGTGGAGCGAGGAGCTTCACCTCACCACACCTGGTTAGGAAGGTGGGGACTTGGAAAGCAGGAATTGACTCATTGAGGCAACGTGGGGATATTTATCAGGACAGAGCAGACTGCTCGGCAAAACTCATACAGTTTCAGCTTCTTGTTTGAACACGGTGTCTCCAAAAAAGCAGCGGTGGGCCACTTCCTCATCTCCTGAGCCAGAGACTCGTGTGGACGGCACATGCGTGGACGGCGATGGTAGCTCTGAGTGGTCAAAGCAAGGGCAAGGCTCAGCAGAGGTTTCTCATGCCCACCTGTACCTGCCTGCCTTTTCTTCTTCAATCAGGCAGTCCTAACCCTTTCTTGAAATGTTTTATAATGCAAACTCTCACAGGTGAAGTATGAGGAATGTGAGAAGAGATACCCACAATCCCATCTCCACAGTCTGCACTCCATAGGTGTGTCGTCTGTGCCAGCCTTCGCATACTATGCCCCATTGATAAAGGTTTCTCTGTTACCCTATAAGACATTTTTTTTAAAAAAAAAAACAAACTAAACAATGACATTGTCTGGAACATTTGACAGCTTTGCTTCTGATTTCCTGAAAGCTGTTGTGGAGAATTTTAATTTGTTCTAGTGCCAAGGCCCACATCTACACTGAAGCATGTCATGATGACAGTACAGATACTTTCCGGTTCATGGCCCTGCAGGTCCTTTCAACCTGAGCATGTACATGTCCTGCCACTCATTGTTGGGGTGTCCTGCTGGACACTGCCTAGCAGCATTGCAGATACTGGCAGGGTTGTCTATGGGAAGTAGTTTTCCATGAAGTTTCCAGGCTAAGACTAGGAAGGAATGTCTGGCGTTGTACTTCCTGAAGATAATTTACCATGAAAACATTATGGTTAGATGGCTACTGAACATCGTCTGAAGCAAAAGGTGAGCTTCTCTGGTTAAAAGGTCCTCAGAAGTGTGGCTGGGGAAAATGTGCAACTCTGAGTGAATGGAAATCCAAAATCTCTGTAAACTTACAGTGAAATAATTTTTTTTTCTTCTTTTTTAATTACTAATTTCAATGAAAATTTACAGAGACTTTGGATTTCCATTCATTCATTGTTGAACTTTTCTCTCCTCCCAGCACTCCCTTGAGTACACTCCCCTCTTGGAAAAGTAAAAGAAAAGTTCCTTCATTGTTTTACAAACCCTCCCCCAGGTCCACTCCACTATGCAGCCTTCGCTCCGGACTCCTGTCATGACAAAAATACCTAATCACATATCCATTTTAAACCGCTTTCTCCCTCATCTCTTTCAATGCAATATACATTATTGAGCCCATCTTTCTCAGTCTCCCCCCCAACCCCGAGGTCAGTCCTGTTTTACAACAGTGGCACCATGCAGTGTTTGTCCTTTTGTGACTGAGATACTTGACTCAGCATAATGTCCTCCACGGTCACCCATTTTGAATAATATTGCTTGAGTGCCTTGTTTTTCAATGAAGTATAGTATTCCATTGTGTGACTATACCACAGCTTTTCTATCCATTCATTTGTTGATGGGCACTTAGGTTGTTTCCAACTCCTTACGATTGTGAACAAAACCGTGATGAACATAGGTGTGCATATATCTGCTTGGATGTCAGTTATGGTCTCTTTGGGGTATATTCCCAGTAGTGGAATTGCTGGGTCAAATGGTGTCTCTATTGGCAACTTTTTTTTTGCATGGCTCTTTTCAGTTTATTGCATGAAAGTGCTATACTAGTCCAAGTTAAAAGTGGACCCCAAATGGTTACATTATACAAGCTGTGAAGTTTTAAACTTGTGACAGGGACAGAAGGAAAATTTTCTACTCATTGCAAGGAAATCCTCACTTGAGCTTCAGTGAGCCACAAACCCTTAGAACCCATGAGCCTTCAGCGGTCGTCCTCAGCCAGTCCAGTCTCTACAAGGAACTGGCACATGTTCTTGCACTGGTCACGCTGTAGCTGAATTACTGCTCCATATTCTGGATGCTCAAGCACAGGACCATTGCAGGCAAACTTCTTAAACGCCTTCACTAGTTTGTTTTTCTTTTTTTTTTAATTTTTTTTTAAAATAATTGTAATGAACATTTACAGAGATTTTGGATTTCCGTTCATTCATTGCCACTAGTTTCTTTTTATCGTAATCATCAGTGACCCCTTGGACAGTTGTAAGGGTCTTCCTGCCCTTTCTCTGTTGAATTCTTATATGGATATACTCCTCAGTCCCAGCAGAAGCAGGTCAGCACCCTTACTTGCATCAGCAAAGGAGTCGAAAGAGTGGCGGTTCTGGATAGCGGACATACGATACGATTCCTTTTCCTCAGTGGAAACGGCCTGGAGAAGGCGGGCAGGGGGGACGGAACATCCGGAAGCGAGGGGGCTCAAGGGGGAGGCAGCTGAGTCCTCATTGGCGGCTCAGTGATTGGGGTATTTGCAACTTTTTGAGAAAGCGCCACACCGCCTTCCGCAGTGGTTGTACCATTTGACTCTTCCACCAACAGTGAATAAGGGTTCCAGTTTCTACACAACCTCACCAGCATTTGTTGTTTGTTGTTCTGTTAAATTTTGCTATTCTGATTGGAGTGAGATGATATAGTTGTTCTGATTTGCATCTCTCTTAGAGCTAGAGATTTTGAACATTTCTTCATGTGCTTGTTAGCCATCTGAATGTCTTTGGTCAAGTGTCTTTCTCTTTTCTTAAGATACTCACTGTTGGTCATGCCCATAGTGAGTAAATCACGTGGAATAAAAGAACCAGTAGATTGGAGAGGGCTCAAGACGGCAGAGTAAAGTGTAGTAAACGCAGAGCTGGAGTTAGCAGATCTCAAGCTTTGAGTTACAGTACTGAGCGTTCTGTGCACAGAATCTGAACCAAGGAGACTGTAACACATGTATTCTCTGTGCCAATGAGAACTGATCACATGTACCCCTTCGGGGAGGTAACGTGTGCTCAAGGACCAAAGGTACTGAAAGAGTTGAAGCTGCACTGACTGAGGCATTGGTGAAAATCAGGTTCTGGGAATTGCTAGAACACTAGTTGAAATGTTTAAACACTAATGATTAAATTATTTTAAATAGTAAATGATTAAATACTAGAAGTACTAACTGGTCTCCACTGGAAAAGATAAGCTCTTTGACCAACCGACTAGAAAAGGTACAAATATGTGCCCATTCCAAAGAAAGGCGATCCCTCAGGACACAGAGCCCCGCCAGGCACCGCCTTCATTCCCTCACAGGTGGGATTCATAAGGTGATTGGATTGAGAAGTGGTCACAGACATGCGTGGACAGGGAGCCACCATGTGGCCTGATGGACGCAAAAGAGGACATGGTATGAGGGCGGTTAGTATTACAGGGACTTTGCTTGAAGTAGGGAGTCCCAGAAAATTGTTTGCCTGTGTTTTATTGACTATGTAAAACGCATAGACTCTGTAGATTATAACAGGTTAGAGATAATCCTGGAAAGAATTGGCATTCTAGAGTAATCGTATTTATGCAAAACTTTTACATAGACCAAGAAACGGCTTCAAACGTAGAAGAGGGTTTTGCCTGGCTTAAAGTCAGGAAAGTGCATGTCAGGGTCCTTTGTGTACCTGCTGTACCTGCAAGGAGCCCAGGGGCGTGGTCTGTAGGGAGGTGTGTGACTAACTCCCTGAGAAAGTGGTGAGCTTCTCTTTGTTTCTGAAAACCTGCCGGAGGCCAGTGATGAGTCGGTTCTGACTGGACAGTAATAACTGGCCAGCTGATTCTAAATAGCTTGAGAGGCTGCCCTGTATGAGAAGCTCAGTGGCAGCCGCCAGTTCACACCTGGGACGTGCCGAGGACGTCAGCATGTGTCTTGGGGTCTGAGATCCTCAGGTGTTCTCAATTCTTTCCATTAAATTGGGGGAGTGGAGTGTGCTGACTGTTGGATTTATCGTGGAGTCTGTTCTCATGCATTTCGTCGCTCAGGTTTTCCTTTGATCAACTGCTCCCCCTCCACCCATGTCATCTTTGCCGGTTCCTTGCCCTGCTCCCTCAGCACGTGCCTTTCCTGCATCCCGACTCTGAGGTCTGGGTCGTACCTCGGCTGTCGCTTCTGACTGACTCCTCTCATGTCCACCTGAGAAGCCTCCACACTCCACATGGCCCTGGTCCCTCCTGCCCTTGGAGCCCCTCATGCCCATCTGTGTGGCCCTGGCCATCCATTGGAAGCTGGTCTCCAGTCTTTCCTGGCCCTTCTCCAACCATGCTTATTGACTCTTGTCTGATGCCGTCTGTTCTCGGTGATAATTCCTGAATCTCAGTTTGGGCTCTGTGGAGGTGGACAGTGATGGCCTGGCATGGTTTCCAAAGCAGCTGACTGGCTTGCGTTCTTGTGCAGTGGGCATCCCCACCATTCGCTGGTGTGGGGCGGAAGGAGACTACAACGTTATGGTGATGGAGTTACTGGGCCCCAGCCTGGAAGATCTCTTCAACTTCTGCTCAAGGAAGTTTAGTCTCAAAACTGTCCTGCTCCTCGCTGACCAAATGGTAAGTGTCCACTTTGCTGAAAGAACTGAGCGAACGGTTGTCCCTAACGCTGCCCAGTTACTTTGATGGGGTGGTGTGCAGTTGACAAGGGAGAAGAAAATGGAAGGGAACTTCTGCCTCAAGCTGCACATTTGCTGTGATTGTGAAGACTCACCCTCAGGCCTCTGTCATCCTGGGCCCAGGCTGTGAGGTCCCCACTGCCTAGTCCCCACTTCCCTAGTGGACATGTATCCTTTCTCAGGGTGGGGAGACTAACTCATGTGTCCCCACTACAGCCCGTCTGGGGACTGCCCTTCCTCAGATGGTCTGCTCCTGGCTGTGGGGTGCAAGCCCACTGCCTTGTCCCGTTGTGTCCTTCTGTTTTGTGGTCACGCTTGGTCTCCAGCCTCTGGACTCTTGACCTGTTTACAGATCAGTCGTATCGAGTACATTCACTCAAAGAACTTCATTCACCGAGATGTGAAGCCGGATAACTTCCTCATGGGCCTGGGCAAGAAGGGCAACCTCGTCTACATCATTGACTTTGGGCTGGCCAAGAAGTACCGGGATGCCAGGACCCACCAGCACATTCCCTACCGCGAGAACAAGAACCTCACCGGCACTGCACGCTACGCCTCCATCAACACCCACCTGGGCATTGGTGAGCTGGGGGCACATTTGTCCCAGCCAAGACCGTGGGACCCTGCACAGCAGAGTGCAGATGGGGGCTGGTGGGGGAGGCGGAGGCTAACAGGACGCCGGGTAGCAGGTAGCAGATAACAGGCAGGTGGAAGCCAGGAGTTCAGGACATGAGCCCATAGGATGACAGTATAGCCGAGAGCAGACAGATGGGGCGTGGTTGCTGGTGGTGGTGTGCAGGGTCTTGGTGGGGAAGGTGAATGGGCCTCACATTTCTTTCGGGATGGCAGGGCAGCTTCTTCCCACCTGAGTGCCCTTCCGTGCAGTATCCTGAGAGTGCGAGGGGCTGCTTCTGCAGAGCCGGCCATCTTTCTGTGTGTTATGCTGTGTCATGGTCACATAGGCGTCTCCGGCTGCTTTCCTAATGGTTCCTTTTTCTCTTCAGAACAATCTCGCCGAGACGACCTGGAGTCCCTGGGCTACGTGTTGATGTACTTCAACCTGGGCTCCCTGCCCTGGCAGGGGCTGAAGGCAGCCACCAAGAGACAGAAGTATGAGAGAATTAGCGAGAAGAAAATGTCTACCCCTATCGAGGTGCTGTGTAAAGGATATCCATGTAAGTCCTGCCCACCTACCCCACCTCAGAGGTGACCAGGTGGCTCTGTCCAGCGCCTTCTGTTGGAGCAGCCCTGCTGTGTCCAACTTCTGCAGTTGGCAGAGTGTGGAGGTCCTTCTGAGTTGGCATCTGCTGTGGGCTGCTGCGTGTGTGGGAAGAACCCCTCTTGCCACTCAGACCTGCTTCATGCTCCACCTCTACCAAGTGAGAATGAAGCCAGCAGGGGCTCCAAGTGGCCTTTACCTGCCACCCCATCCTGGGAATGCCCTTACCCAGGCGCACCACTCGAGCCAACCCTGCTGCCTCCCTCCTGTGCTGTAGGGGCTGCCATAGCCTCGGTTATACGGACCAGGCCTCTGCTCTGAAGTGGGTTCTAGACACCTCCCTGAGCCTAGCTTTTGAACTGGAGACTGGGGCTTGCAGCCATCTCCTGTTCTAAGGCTCTGCAGCTGTGGAGGCTGCTGGTGGTGTTCCTGCCCCACCCGGGGCTTCAGCTGGCTGCTGGCCCCTTCTTTTGCAGCTGAATTTGCCACGTACCTGAATTTCTGCCGTTCCTTACGTTTCGACGATAAGCCCGACTACTCCTACCTGAGACAGCTCTTCCGGAATCTCTTCCATCGCCAGGGCTTCTCCTATGACTATGTGTTCGACTGGAACATGCTCAAGTTTGTAAGTGTCCATGGGGACGCCTGCCCTGAGTGTGTGGCCAGTGCCGCTCAAGGGCCAGCTGCCTCTGCTGACACCAGCTTCTGGGCTTGGGATTTAGTTAACTGTCTATGTGGTGCTGAGGACTCATGAGCGGGCACTGCTGCAGTGTGGGCCGTGAGCTCCCCTGGACCCACCACAGAACCTGGGTCCCAGGGACCGAATGTGCCCTCTGTGCTGGTCTTAGCTCTGAGGCTAAGACCTCGTGTCTCATGAATTTGGAAGCATGGTGATTCTGAGAGTGGCTTGGGTCCCAGGCTGTCCCCTGGGGTGTGCCAGGAGCACTGCCCTGACTGAAGCGCTTCGTCCTCTGCCCTGTGGTCATCTCTGTCTGAGCTGCTCCTCACCTTTCGCATGTGCAGCACAGGGTATGGACACTTTACACCCGTCCTCCGTGTCTCCCGTTGTTTTCTCACAAGTAGGTGTCCTGTTGCTGGCCTGCTTTGTGAGCTTAATGAGTGGTCAGCCAGAACTGACCCCCATGTGGGCCTTCCACTTCCTTTAATCACTCTGAAACAGAAGTTGGTGTCTCTCTCGGGAGAGGAGGTCTTGACTAGGGCACCGAACACGCTGTGCAGAGACTGTAAGCTAGGAACCCCTGTTAGATACCCCGCTTGGCTAGGCCTGTTGACCCCCCATGTGTCTACTGGGAGGGCAGGCCAGCAGGCCGGTCCTCGAGTGGCAGTGTTTAGTGCTCCTGGTGGCAGTCTGTGCTCTCCAGGGCTGCAGCCTCGTGTCCCTGAGTGTCGCTGTAGCTGGCTCTCCCTGCAAGGGACCAAAGCCCTGATAGCGCCAGCTCATTGCAACAGCCTCTGGAGGACGCTTGGCGTGGGTACTGAGCATGAGAGGCGGGACTGTGTGCCGTGGGAGTGTGGGCACAGAGCGGGGCAGGCGGAGGGCCCTCTCACGCGATCACGTCTGTCCGTGTGGCAGCAGGTACCCTGCGTGTCTGCCTTTGTCCATCATTGGGTCATGTCTGCAGGGTGGCGTGGGCCTTCATGCTCACTGCCCCACAGTCCCTGTCTCTCGGGGGCTGGCACAGCTTAGAGCAGTTACTGGCCTCAGGCTATTTCCTGTCCCTCCCAGGGTTGGGGTTTGTTCACCAGGGGTAGGAGCTGAACTTGGTCTGCTGGGGACTCGTGCTAGCCATGTCCCGGGGCTGTGAGACAGGACGAGAACTGCTGGCCTGGTTCAGGGCCCTGCAGACTGCCTCCTGTGGTAGGCTCAGGGCCTCTCGTGTTTGCTTGAGCTGCCCCCCGTCACTCCGTGCTGTTGTCACCTCTCCTCGTAGGGTGCCAGCCGGGCCGCCGATGACACTGAGCGAGAACGCCGGGACCGGGAGGAGCGGCTGAGACACTCTCGGAACCCAGCCACCCGGGGCCTCCCCTCCACGGCCTCAGGCCGCCTGAGGGGCACACAGGAGGTGGCCCCCCCAACTCCCCTCACCCCTACCTCACACACTGGTGAGCGGCCTATTAGGCAGGGGGCCTGGATTATGTCCCGTGCTGCCTTTCAGTGGCCATTTATGGAGCAGGGTGGGCCTCGGAGCTCTGTGCTCCTGGGGGCACTGCTGGGACCCTCCGTCCTGGATCGCACTGGGGTGCTTTCTGGAAGCTGAGTCTCTCAGGGCCTCTCCCACAGTGCCTGCACTGCCTCTAGCCCTGTTCCCATCCTGGTCCGTGGTGGGCACCCCAGTTGAGTCCCTGCATGCTCCCCAGCCTCACCTGCCTGCTCTTCTCCCTCAGCAAACACCTCCCCGCGGCCTGTCTCTGGCATGGAACGTGAGCGCAAGGTGAGCATGCGGCTGCACCGCGGCGCCCCGGTCAATGTCTCCTCGTCTGATCTCACCGGCCGGCAAGACACCTCGCGCATGTCCACCTCACAGGTGCGTCTCAGAGGGCAGGGCAGGGCCGTCCCCGAGCAAGGGCTGCTTCCCTCCCCCTTCCTCCCAGGGCTGTGCTTCGCTTGACTGGCTGGGTCACTCCCCAGCTCTGATCCTTGGGGCACCCTCTCACACCCCAGGACCTTGTGCTGCACCCTCCTTACACGGGTCCTGGCGGGCCTGGGTCCTTAGTATGGGCCTGTCCTGACGGTTAACCACAGGGTTGGGCTTGCGTGGGTGCTCGGTGGACTGACTCGCTTGCCCGCTCGCTGCGGTGGACTGACTCGTTGGCTCACTGGCTCTTCAGACTGCTCGCCTCTGCTCACGGTCCCACTTGCTGGTCCATCCTGTCCCTGCACTGGCTGCGGGGCACTGAGTGACCACGTGGGACACTCCTTGCCTTGCTCTGACTTAGAGCTTGCATGCCGGGCCTGCCTGGTCACTGCAGTTCTGGGTGCCAGTGTCCTCCCCTCCCCCTTCAGAGCCCCTGGCACTCAGAACGACGCTGCAGCCAGAAACCTACTCCCCTTGAGCTGGGGTGCACTTGAGTCAAGGGGACAGTTGCTGGGTGGGGTGTGGGGCTCTCAGGGCTTGACTTCCATGCCCAAGGTTCGCCTTCCTCACACCTGGGACCATAGAGCCCACTACCCACACCCAGTGGGCGCCACGGGAACCCTGGCCCCAGAGCCAGCATGGAGCCCAGGCTGGTGATCTCATGGCTCTTGAAGGAAATGATGCGTCCAGAAGCTGACAGTGTGGCTCTAACAGAGGGACCAGAGGAGCTGTGTGCCTGGCCACCTGGGGTGACCTGGCTGTCCAGAATCTCCATCATGGGCACATTGAGGGGAGGCAGGAGTCGGTCAGGCATCTCTGCGTCCTGGTCCCCTTTTTTGCATACCAAGGGAGAACACGAGGCTTTCGTATTAGGATGACTTCCTGAAAGAGACTTGGGACATTTTTGCTGCAAAGAAAGCATCATCACTTGCTGATGGTCCCCTGGCCTGTGTGGTCTTCACACCCAGAATCAAGCCACAGGATTCCTCTTAGAGCTTGTGTTCTGTCCTCCTCTGGGCCTGCTTTCCTTTGGAAGAGCATCAGTACAGACTACCCAGGCCCAGCTGCTCCTGGCTGTGCTGCATCAGCCCGAGGGGAGCAGGCAGCTGTGTTCCCCAACATTGTGGGGTCCAGCTGTGCATGCATCTCAGAGGGAGCAGGTGGCATCCCTGGGCTGTTTGGCTGACCTGGCTTGTGTTGTCCATTTGCAACCCAGAAAGCTGAGGGTTGGAGTCGATGTGGGGGATGAGCATTGGGGGCTGGGATCAGCTGGGGGCAGGGGAGGCCATGGACACCTTTGGTCCCCGCCCTGTAGCTCTCGGCCCCGCCCCCACCCATGGGGCTTCGTACCCTTGCTGCTTTTCCCGCCCCGCACCAGCGTCACCGGGTCTCCATGTGTCCAGACAGCTCGAGTTGGAGAGAAGGGCAGAGGCTCAGTGCTGTCCCTCCTCCTGTGGCAGTATGTCCTGGACTCCATGTGGGCCTTGCCCGTTGGCCTCAAAGACGTTGACTCAGACCCTGCCTGAGTGGGGATTGGGCCTCACCAGCCGGGGCATCTCCAGGCAAGGTGGTAGGGCCTGCTGCTGGCCGAGCTGCCCCAGGCAGGTCTCTGGAGCAAGACCAGGCTGTCATCAGCAGGGGATCTGGTGACAAAAGTCAGCGGACTCTACATCCCTTTATCTGCCATTTTCACAGATAGAGCCCGAGTGCTTCTGGGTGGGTGGGGCAGCAGCCGGGGTCCCCTTTGCCAGCAGTGTGGTCTGGGATGCCTTGGGAAGCAGGCCGCCTCATGGTCAGGGCCAAGACCAGGCCCCCGCGACCTCGAGCCGCCTTCCGACCACTGTCTTTTCCCACCTCAGAATAGCATTCCTTTTGAACACCACGGCAAGTAGGCGCCCGTCTCCACGGAAGGCAGCACTCGGTGAGTGACCGGTGCCGTGGTCTGGTGGACAGTGAGGCTTGCCTGCAGGGCTGCAGGCAGGATGGGCTTGCATGCCAGCTGCTGAGGCCTCGTTCTGCCTCTGCCAGTCTACCGCTGGGGGTCCCTGTGTAGTGGCCAGCGCAGCTGATGCTGTGGCAGGGGCCCCCATTTGCTGTGGCCGCTGGCTGGGGCCTTGCGCTCGCTCTTCCAGGTTCCGCCCTCCTGTCTGGCACACTTGCGCTCTGCAGCTCTTCTCTGTACTGGCCAGCCCTTTGCTCTGTGGTGCATGGCACCTCACTGCCGCCGCCTCCACACACCACGCTCTGGCTCTCGCCGAGGCTCCGCTTCTGTGGTGCAGTTGGGGGTCTGGGTGGAGCCGCCTTGTTGCTTCTCGGGGCGTCGCAGGGCCACTCCAGCCTGTTCCCCAGGCTGCAGTCACCTCCCAGGGACCGGGCCACTGCAGCTCCCATCCGCATGCCACCTCTGCTCCCGCCCTCTGTTTTCTGAGCAGGGTTTAGGCCACAGGGCAGGTGTTTGGAGCGTGCTGGAGGTGGCCACCCAGCCCAGCCTCATGCTGACGCTGTCTGTCCTTTGGCTCTGACAGATCCCCGGTCGGGTGGCACCCAGTGGTCTTCAGTCGGCCGTGCACCGGTGAGCCGCTCCGAGCGAGGGCGGACATGCATGGCTGATCCACTCTGTACCAATGGCTTCCTAGTGATGCGCCCGACCTAGAGCAGGAATGTTAACACCGGAGCTCGCCAGGCCTCACCCAGCGACGTGCACAGGACACACGGACTAGACGGACAGACACCACGTGCTGCCAGCCAGGCCAGGCCAGGCCGGCCACAGGTGCCCGCCGCCCCGGGAGGATGAGACCTTCACTGCGGCTGGCTCCCTGGCTACTGTAACTACCGACCTTTCTCTGGGTTAAGACCGTTTTGTATGATTTTGCTAAAAATTACTGGCTTAAATCTGTGTAAAGAGATTTGTCTTTTTATTGTTTTTTTTGTTTTGTTTTTTTTCCCTCGTCTGTATTTGTGGTCTTACAAAGATGTTGACGTTAAAAGCACCCTGAAATGCACTCCCTGATTGGCCTTTGTTTCTGGTGGCAAGGCAGAACACTCGGACCTGGCAGTGTGTGTCCGTCCGTCTGTCCTGTCTGTGGGCCGCCTTGTCACTTTGTCCCAGTCGTGTGTGGATATGAGCTGTGCTCAGGTGTCTCGGGGCTGAGGCTCTGAGCAGTGCTGTAGGGCGCAGGGTCCTTCCAGGACAAGGACACAGGCCACATGTTTTCTGCCTTCCTGGAGGGGCCTGTGCCTCGGGAGCTGGTGGGGCTGTGGACAGGACTTGTCGCCTAAAATGCCTTCGAGTCTGAATTTGAGGAGTTTGTGGCCAGATTGTCCGTGCAGGTGGCGTTTAATCTGTGCTGATACCCGTGTACAGGGCCTTAGGGGTGCCTCGCTGAGGCACACAGGGCCGCTGACCAGCCCTCATCACGGTGCGCTGTACACCATGCAGAAGACAGGGCTGTGAGGACAGGCGGGCGGCACTCTCCAGTACCCACATTGCCCCTCCTTGGAAGCCAGGGACCCACAAGTGCCACCTTCCCTCTGCCCCGCTGTCTTCTGACCTGGGGCTGCTTGATTATGAATGGGCAGAGTGACCTGGTTGCCCTCGAAGCATCTGGGGTGGGAACAGGGTGTGCAGCGTGAACGCCTTCCTCAGACCCCACCTGGAGGGAAGGACCCGCCCTCACGGGACATATAGTGGAGACGTCTTGTCGGCCGTGTGCAAGCCTTGGCCGGCGCGTTTGTACCCCGTATTTGTGTACTTTAACAACTGTGTAAATAATAAATTCATACGGCTTCTACATTTCTCCAGCCCCTTTCCTGGTCTTCATTTCCCCATCTGGGTTCTGCCCTCCACAGCTCATCTGGGTCGTTTTGTCTTACCTTGGGCATGGCAGGGAGGTGTGCAGGGCTCAGCCACCCCATCCCCCCACCCCCAGAGACTGGGCCTGGCCTCCTCACTGCTGGACTGCTGTTGGGCCTGCCTGGTTCTCTGGAAGGATCTCTTGTCCCAAACAGCTGTCCCAGAACACCCCCTCCTGGTGCAGTTGTGTGGGAGGGTCCCTGCCTCATCTCCACCCCCATCCTTCTGGTGCACGGTTCTGTGGGAAGGGAACTCCCACTCCCACCTTCAGGCCCTCTCGCAGTTCTGTGGGAGGACCCCCCACACCCAGCAGGCCTCCTATTGGGGTTTGTGATTGGCTGCCTTAAACCCTCCTCTCCTCACTCAGATCTGTCTCTTCTTTTAACGGCCATGCTGACAGACCCAAGGTTCCATAATGGCCATGCTGACAGGAACCCCAGGGCCCCGGCTCGAGGTGGAGGGCAGGGCATCACTGCTCCAGTTCTGAGTGACATTGTGGCCCCACTCGCCCACCATCCTTTACTTAGACGTGCAGCAGTGACTTTCGAGCCAGAGGTCTGTGCCCTGAGTGACCCTGCCCAGCTGTGTGCTGCCTCCCCGACTGTTTGCTGGGATCATGGGTTTTTCTTGGCTGGTGTTTGGAACTAGGTTACTAGGCCGCCTCCTTGCTCTAAGTCTGGAAACTCCACAGAAACCAGTTTGGCATCATAGGTCTCCAAAGGAGTGGTGGTGGCTGAGCAGGAAGTGCCTGTGGTGAGACTCGAACCCTGGTCTCCAGAGGGCACAGACTACCACTACACCCCTCTGCCTCAGAGTCCTCAGCTGCTGTCCTGACCTTTCTTGTCAGGAAGGGGCACAGGCCCTCAGTTTCAGGGTCAACCCTTTGCCCACTGGTGCGAGGTTCCTGCAGGAGCCCTTGGAAGCCTCCACTCTCAGGTTCCCATGCAGATGGGCTGTGCTGTGATGGCCCTCTGCTTACCCAAGTCCAGCTACACGTATGCTGGGCACAGCTGGACAGTTTGGAGAGGGCACCCTGAGTAGCTCCTGCTGCCCTGGGCCTCCTGCAGCCTTGGCCTTAGTCCCTGGGACCTCTCGACTCCACCTGTGGGAGGGTGTGGTTCAGGTTCTGGACCGGGGGCTATTCCAGGATATGCCAGGCTTGCTGTCAGCCCATAAAGCTGATAGTTCTACTGAATGGGGCCCATTGTTGTCTCAGGGTCTGTACCCGCTCAGGGTGCCTGAGTAAGCAAGGGGTCCCACCTATGGCAAGCCTGTGAGTTCTGGGCCCAGGATCCTGAGGTTCACACGCCTTCTTGCAGGACGTGTACCCCATGCCACAGGGCATCAGGGGATAGCAAGAAACTTGCTGCAGCCCCTGGGCAGCCTACCTGTAGGTCTGTCCTGGCCTAAGCATCACAGGAGAACCCCCAGGAAGTTCCTCATTCTCATTTTGAGGACCAGGGTTCTAGAAGCTTTGATGTCATTCAACATGCTTTGATTTTGTATGAGAGCAGGAATAGAGGGAGGTGGTAGTGTGGGGCCTGAAAGAGCACCCAACCAGGGTTGCCCGTGATGGGAGACGGGGAACCACACTGGGGAAGCAGGTGGAGCATAGCAACCAGCATCTAGCCTCCCCAGGGCCCTGCTCAGCCCGGATGCAGCCGGCATGCGTCTGGGCTCAGGAGGAAGGTGGGGTCTGAGCAGTCACCCCTGCTGAGGGGCACCCCTTTGCTTGGCCAATATTCCTACCACCCACGACCTCACCTGATTGTTTAGCCATGGCCTGGGGCCTGAAGGCATGCTGCCCTCCCGATGGGCAGTGCCGGCCAGGCGGCGGCTGACCCTGCAAAGTGGGCTCCTACCCTTTGTCAGACATTGGCCTCTGAGGACCTGTGTCCCTGTCTGCCATCCCTTGCAGTCAGTGAGGTCAGCAGGACTTTCCTGAGGTAGAGCCCCACCCCCATAGCAGAGGGCACCAGTAGAAATGTGAGGACCAGTGTGGAAGAGGGGGCTGGAGTGCAAACAGAGGCTACAGGTGTAGGTCAGGAGTGATCCAGGGTCAGGAGCGACCCAGGGTGCAAGGGTCCTGGCAGAGTGGGCCAAGGGACAGAGACCAAGTTGTCCTTATTGTTGTCCCCCCAACCCCGGCCTTGCCAGCTGGGTGTGAGGGGTGAGACCAAGACCTCTCAAGCCTTACCAGCTGGCCAAGAGGGGTGAAAGCAAGGACTCTCATCGCGCCTCGCCAGCTGGTCGTGAGGGGATGAGGTGTCTTGGAGCCTGAGCAGACTGGGCCATGAGCTCTTGCTTGTCTTTCTTTGCAGAAAAGCAGGGCGATGGCCTCCCTCCGTCTGCACACTGCCCGCCAGGGCACCCGCTGCCGCCCCCAGCGCCCACGACGCACCACCTACTGAGGGGCTTCAGCAGCCTCCAGACAGGCTCCCCGCCATGCAGGCCACCGCTGGCCACAAGGGCAGGTGGGTGTGGGCATGCCCAGGGTGAGGCTGGCTGTGAGCGAGGGCGGGCAGGGCTGGGCAGGCAGAGGCCAGGCGGGAGCAAGAGGAGCAGTTTTTACATTCGTGGACTTAACACACCAGATGCGCGCGCACACCACGAACAAACGCAAGCGTGTGCCCTGGCTCGGTTCTCAGTCCGCGGGCCTTTCCTCCCAGGCCCCTGCCCAGCCGACAGGACACTGCAGACACGCGGCTCCTGCGGCACAAGGCGGGCCCTCAGGCTCTGGCCTCCACTCATGCCAGGCTCAGGGCCCGAGAGGCCTCTCATTCTAGGAATACTCCAGGTCCACCAGAGGGGAAGCCGTGAGCAGGGTGGTGTCAAGTGGGCAGGAGAGGCAGGCTGTCCCTGCCCCTGATAAAAGTCCTGTTTGCTTTGCAGCCTGGGTCCTGGGGCCTTCAGTGGGGTGCAGGGGGGCTGCCGGCCGGGCTGGGCTAGGCATGACCCTGTAATCGAGCTTGACTCCACCGCAGATCCATTGAGGACTGAACCCCGCCACCTTCCCTTGCCCGACAGTGTGCGTGCCGCCTGCCCGCCCGCGGTGGCACCCAGCGTCCTGTGCAAATAAACGAGAGCTCCTCCGTCTCCGGCCTCCTCCCTGCGCCACCGGCACTCAGACGCTCGTTTCGGGGTTGTGGACGGCCTCCCCATTCTTCTCAGGCTCCCCCTTCAGGAAGACTTCCACCTCCCGGGCATCCACTGGTCCATCTGGCCCGTCCACAGGGGCCGGGCCCTGCTCCTCCCTGGCCAGCTCATGGGCCGTTTCCTTGGGGGGCCGTCCCAGGCAGAAGTAGTTCCCAAGCAGCAGCACGAGGGCGGAGCAGAACACCTCAGTGCCGGCCAGGATGAACACATACTTGTAGACGTGGGTGGCATCCAGCAGCTTGCCTGCAAGGAGACTCGAGTGACCCAGGTATCGGGCAAGCAGCCACACAGATAAGGGATCTCCTGCCCAACCCAGCCCAGGGCTCTCAGGGCGCAGACTGGGAGAAACTTCACCTCCCACCTCTATCCTCTCCCCAGGGGTCAAGACTGAAGTGGCTCTGTGGTTTAGGGTGACCAGAGAAACCTAGCCTCACAGCCCCGGCCTCAGGCCACGTGGCTCAATGTCAAATGGAGCCCCTAGACAGGGCACCCCTCTCCCAGACCATGGCACCATCGTGGTCTGAACCTTCACCCCAGCCATTTCCAGGCTTGTCCTCACGATCTTTGTGCCCACACCTCCCCTAAGACACCGGGCAAGGGCTGGGCCAAGTTGGGGCCAGGCCTCCCCTTGGTTGATGGGCACAGGACTGCCCGCCAGCACTCACCCCCCGAGGGTGGCCCAATGAGTACAGCCACGGCTTCCAGTAGCAGCACCAGGCCGATGGCGCTGGAGAACTTCTGGGTGCCCACGATGGCCATCAGTACCTCGAACTGTAGGGCACCCACCATGCCGTAGGAGATGCCAAAGAAGACGCAGAAGACCACCAGGCCGCCGTAGTCACTGGCTGTGGAGCCCGCCAGGTCTGCAATGCCGTTGAAGAACATGGCGAAGCTGAAGAGGTAGACGGAGTAGGGGCGTACACGCCGCAGCCCCGTGATCAGGCCGGCCGTGGGCCGCGCGAAGATGTCGATGAAACCCAGCACGGTCAGCAGGAAGGCGGCCTTGGTGTCCGGCGTGCCCAGGTCCTTAGCATAGCTGACCACGAACACGGGCGGCACAAAGAGTCCCAGCACCATGATGGACGCGGCCAGTGCGTAGATGACGAAGCCGCGGTCCCGGAAGACACTGAGGTCCAGCAGCCGCCGCGCTGGCCGCCGGGGTCCGGGCTCGGCACCCGGTGTCCGGGGCGGCTCCAGCGGCCGCATGAGCGCGGCGCACACACAGCAGTTGAGCAGCAGTCCCCCCAGGATGAGGAACCCCCCGCGCCAGCCATAGTGGTCCTGCAGCAGCTGGCCCAGCGGGGACAGGGCACACAGGAACACCGGGCTGCCCGCAGCGGCCAGCCCGTTGGCGATTGGGCGGCGCTTGTTGAAGTACCGGTTCAGCATAATGAGTGACGGCTGGAAATTGAGTGCCAGACCCAGGCCTAGAGGGGTGGGGCAAGGGTGAGGGGTCACTGGCCACCCCAGGGGAGGACTAGACCTGAGACCACTCAACCCCGAGAGGCCCAGATATGGCTACTCCTTTGTGAGGACACAGCCCTGTCCACTTACGTCAATAGTGGTTCGCAGAGCCCTGGCCACCCAGTACCCGGGACTGTTACCACATGTCGGGCCACCCACTTACCAGTGATGACCCCCGTGGTGAGGTAAACCTGGATGATACTGGTACAGAAGGACGCGGCCACCATGCCCAGGGATGCAAAGAGGCCGCCCACAAGCATGACAGGCCGGCAGCCGAAGCGGTTCACACACACACTGCACAGGGGTCCTGGGGGCAGAAGCAGGCTGGGGTCACAGCATGCCAACCATGCCCATGTCTACAGGCTCTGGCCAAGGCTGCTCTTGGCTAGCTCATCCACCCAGAGGCCAGCGCACAGCCCTGGGCATGCAGGACGCCGATGTGGCCATTCCCTCACCTGGAAAGAGTCTTTAGAGTGATTAGGACCACCCCCACCTGAGCACAGCACCTCGTTCTCCAGCTCCCCATTCCACAGGCAGCTTGGAGCCTAGGCTATGTTCCACTGGGGACTGTCCTCAGAGGCCCACGAGCCGTGCCAGGCCCGTGCCTGTGACCATTACCCACTTGGGGCCCCTGCCAGGCCTCACCCGTGCCATATAGCATGGCAAGCAAGATGGAAGAGATCCAAGCCGTATCGCTGTAGCCAATCTGAAACTCCTTCATGAGTTCCTTGAAGAAGACGCTGACCGCTTTGGGAAAGGCGTATGAGAAGCCGGTGATGACAAAACCGCCGAAGAGCACAGCCCAGCCCCAGCCGCCATCCGGGGCCGGGACCCCAGGTGGGCCGTCGTCCACCACTGCACCCCCCATGGCCACAGGGCTGGGTCTTCGCCACCTGGGACAGGAGCAGAGTCAACAGGTGATCAGTGTCGGCCTGAGCTGTAGCCAGAGGAGCAGGGAGGGGACAAAGGACATGTACCCACAAACACATGGCCAGGAGTGCTCAGCCCACCACTTCAGGCCCTTCGGTCTGTGCAGGGTCAGGTCTGCACCGGGGTCCCCTGCCCTGTCCCTGGGGCCCACCTGCCCACAGGCCTGAGTCCCCACCTGCAGTGCGTCCCTCTGCAGCTCAGGGGACTGGCTGAGTGCTGCGACTCAGAGCCCGCCTTGGCCTGTGCCGGTCCCGGGCATGGAACAGCAGGCTGCCCCCGCCTCACATGCCCAGTGGCATTCTAAAGGGCAGTGGCTTTTTTGGGCTCAGTGGGAGTCGGGTTACAGGGCCCAAGCACAGGTACCCCAATGGAGATGATGGCCTGGCTGGCTTCTGCAGACTCTTGGTGGCCCTATTTCGGGAAGTGGCAGGTCACTGTGGTACTAAGCTTTTGGCAGCAGCTATGCTGCCCAGCAGGCAGGGCCATCTTGGGCACAAGGACCTGGGCCAGGATGTTGGAGTGGGTCACTACCTCAGTCTCACACCTGCTCTCCCACCAGTCCCCGTCCAACACGTGGACAGCAGGTGGAGAGAGGGGTGGCGGCCAGGCCCCAGTGGTCAGTACCTCCAGGAGACAGCTTCCTGGACCCTGCCCACCAGGACACAGATTGGGTCTCCCAGAGGGATTAGTGGGTCTGAAGCTAAGTGGGATGAGTGTACCACCAACCAGCTGTACCCCAAGGGATTGAACCCCACAGCTGACCACGTGAGCAGGCAGTTGGGGTACCTTGTCCCCACACTGATCCACAGTCTCCTCACCTGACTTGGGCCGGTTACTGGGGCCTCCCTGAGGCGGGGGTGGCTGGAGGACAGTACCGAGGCCAGTCAATCCAGCCTGTTTGCAGCCTTAAAGCTTGACCTCCCACTTCGGGGTGCCGATGAGAGGCTTTCTGGGGAGAAAAAACTTGGTGGTTGCAATTTCTAGGGTGCAGATACACCCAGCCCCAACCCAGGACTCCACGCCTCTGGAATCAGAGTCCCCAGCAAAAGTGTTTATGGACCCCTAGCCTCACCCCCTGAGGCTCAGTGAGAGCAGACCTCCATTAGGTACCTGGCCAAGTGTGCCTGTCACCCTCTGAGTCTCAGCCTCCCCATCCTGCCCAGGCAGGGCCTGGCCTTCTCCCCTGGTGTCTGAGGCCATGGCTAGAGGCCAGTCATGCCAAGATGAAGTCCAAAGGGTCAGGAGACAGCTGGACAGAGAGGGCAGGTCTTCTTACCACATGCTGATACTGGACTTTGAAAGTCCCAAGACCACAGGACAGCTCTTGAACCAAGTTTTAAACACCCGTCAGGAGTGTGAGAACACATCCTATTGGTTCAAATACTGAGAAGAGGGGGGCTGCCCTGGGGCCCCACCCCAGATGGCTGGAACAAGAAGGGGCCATCAGCACCTGAGAGCCAGGCAAGGAAAGCTCACACAAACTGGAGCCCACCCATCAGGGCTGGCCCACCCTCAGAATGCCAGGAGGCTTGAGGCACAAGCGTCATGGCTGGACATAGGAGAGGTGGCATCACCAGCCCTGGAGGCAGATGGCCCCTGAAGTGGCCTCAGGAGGGGAGAGAACAAGGGACGTGCCAAGGCCCTGGGGCCAGGCAGGCACAGCATGTTCCAGGACCCGTCCATGAGGCTACATGGGGAGGGCAGACTTCCCTGCCAGGGACTGTGGTGTCTTAAGACAGCCGTCACTCCCAGCCTTGGCAGCCCCAGACGGGGAGGTGCTCATGGAGCCAAGGTGTCAAGCTGGCCTTCTGTGACATTTACTGGCCCAGAAATAACTGCCTTCGGGTGTGGAGAGCCCATGTTGGGAGGAGCTGGCACTCCCTGGGTGAGGTGAGGCTGGGGCGCCCCAAAGAACCGGCCACCAGCCAGGATGCCCACATGAAGGCCCCCAGACACTAGGCTGCTGAAAGTGGAGCAGGAGCTATACGGAGGTCCCAGTGCCCACAAGCCCACCCCTCCCTCTTCCCCCATGGAGAGCAGGACATGGTCACGGCCTTGTGAGGAGGCTCTGGCTCACTGCTGCCTCTGGTTCCCGTTTGGGGACTGACAGTGCCCAGGCGGACCTCTAGTCTCCACCTGCACAGCAGGGCATAGTTCACCCTAAGCACATGCCCCCTACCAACCATCGCACACAGTCCCAGCTGGTTGGTCCCCCATGGCCTCCCAGCTCAACACATTACCCACCCAGACTCATGTTCTGTCCACTCAATTTCCACCGCCCCCCCACTTCCTAAGATCCTCTAGTCCACTCTCCACCATACAAAGTGCCCCTCGGGAACTGTGTCCCCACTCCGGGTCCAGCCAAGTGGACTCGATGCTATTGCCTGCATGAGCTGGTGCACCCAGACCGTCTTCTCTGAGCGGGTTTTCAGGCTGGTGCCCCTCCTCTCCAGCACCAGCAGGGGCCATGTCCTCTGGGGTGTGCACCTGGGGCTAGCAGACATCTCAGGTGCTGAATGGGGGAGCCCAGCTCCTTCCTGGGCAGCTTCTCAGGGAATGGGCAGCTCCAAACCCCTAGAACCTGGCCAGGGCAGCAGAGGTTTGGGGCAGGGCCTGTCCAGTACTCTGCATTACACATACGGGTGACCACAGTGACCTGGCTCCAAGAAGCCTGGTGCTGTGCAGAGCGGACATTTGGGGGAGAACGGGCTCCTTGGTGGTCTTCATGGTGCCAGAGGTGGGCACTGGGTAAGTGTCTGTGAGCCCCCTGCCCTGGCTGAGCTGACACGCACCAGTGCGCCCGGCTCACAGCTCACGTGCTGTATTGTACCTTGTCTTGGGCGCACATCGCTAGCACCCAGGGCTCAGTGGGGCGGAAACACTGGCCTCTTTTGCCAGATGGATGCTATAGCCAGAGGCCCCCACATACTCAGGCTCCCCGCCAGAGCCAATGGCAAGTAGAGGACCCTGTGCCAGGGCCCAGCTCCAGCACCAGGAGGCCGTGGTTGTCCAGAGGTGTCTTCTGAAGAAGGTCTTGGAGGGCAGAACCTGGACCCTGAGTCCAGCTCACCCTCTGCATCATAGCCAAGACCACCTAGACAGTCACTGGCCTTCGAAGCCCATTCTCACACCCTGGGCTCCACCGGAACACAAGCCCTCCACGCGGTCACATCTCCCGTCACAGCGGCCTGGAGTGGTCTCTGCCCTCGCCGTAAATGGGGGGTGGAGGAGCTCGGGGCTGCAAGCTCCCATCCAGCAGCCTGCCTGTCACAGACCGGCCCCGGGTCCCGACAGCCGAAACGGGGCGGCGAGCAGCAGACCCTAGGCACCACCCACGACCCCGCCCCGTCTCTGGAGACTGCGCTCGCCCTGTGCAGGGACGGCGGGGACAGGCACCTCCGCTGCCGCTTCCTGGCGCTGGGCGCCAAGTCTGGGCGCCCGAGCGCAGCCGACCGCCTGCCCACAGCCTGCCCACCGTGGTGGGGGCCAGAGTGCGGGAGAAGATGCTCCACCCGCCCCGCCCGGTCGGCCGCGGACGTGGGGGACGTGACCGCGCCAAGGGAGGAGCCGCCACCGTATTGACTGGAGTAGGTGCCCACCACGCCGTTACCGTATTCTCCGGCGCGTATGCTTATGGCCACCCTGGTCCTCTCAGCCCGCCGGGTGCCCGCACTCCGCTAGGGGACCATGGGGAGGCAGCCTGTTTGTGGCGCCTCCGAGCCGGGTAGGCTTTCATTTTTCCCTCCTCCAACGCCCGGCCCAGCTCCATCACTCTGAGCTCTGGTAGCCACAGGCAGACGCCTCCCTGTCCCCAAAGGAATGGCTGCTTGGACCGACCCACTTCGTAGATGAAGACTAAGGCCTGGGTTCTGGACTCGCCTAAGGTGATGTGAGGCCACAGCAGCTCCTGACCATGCCCCGCCCCACACCGGGCCCAGGACCAGGCCACCCCAAGGCCTAATGGAGAGGTGACTTCAGATAGCCCTCTGTGCAGCTGTACCCCCACACATCCCACCCACCTGAGGGTCACACCCACAGGTTCTCCCTCACCCAAGGGACTGGCATGGAGCCTGTCCTTCCCACCCAGCCTGGGCACAGAGGGGACCTCCTCACCCTGGCGTGAGCTGGTCCGCACAGCAGTCACCTCTGACCACTGTGTGAGACCCCTCAGTCCTCTGCACTCATTTTCCCCTGCTGCACCCTGGAGAACATGAAGCCCTCAGAACAAGTATCTACTCTGCCAGCTTACTCCTCCTCAGTGGCTGGTCACCGGTCCTGCCCAAGGTCACACACAGTCATCTCCAAACCAGCCTGGGACCAGGCCTCCTGGCCTGTCCACCCCACGTGGACTCCATGTCTATCAGGGGTCACCACTAGCTCCCCCTGAGAGCCGCTGTGGGCAAACTGACCCTGTGCCCTCCTGGGAGCTCCCTGAGAGCCCACCTCCCCACATATTGCCTGTCCCTCACAGGGCAGACAAGCGACCCCCAACGCCAGGCCGAGATGACTCCTGGACCACGATGAGGCTGGGACCCTGGAGGTCCTCTACCTCAGGCCCCACCAAACTCTCAGCTGTGCACAAGCCACTGGCCCTGGATCATGTGGAGAGAGCCTATCAAGTTCCAGAGGCTCTTGTCCCCCACTTCCCTCAGACATCCAGAGCCCTGAGGCCACCCACAGCCCTCAAACTACCCACTATGCTGGTCTGTCCTCTTTAAGGATTGACCAGTCAATACAAGCGTTGAAGTGTCCCCATTCTGGCCCTCTGAATGCTGACTTCAGGAAGACCATTCCTGTTTCGGGGGAGGGTGGGGGGTGGCGTTTAGCAATGTACCATTCAGATAGGGAAACTGAGGCAACCTGCAGAGAGTGGGAGGCCCTCTGAGGCCCCGTGGACAGGGAGGGAGTCCTGCCTTCGGTTAAGGGCCCAGCAGCACC